TGTATATTTGGCTCGACCGTAAAAGGCGAAGATAGCGGACAACTGGTCTGTTTATATACGGTTAGTGGACCGCCTATCAATAAATAACCTTGAAAGATCGCTCGAAAGTAGTGAGTCACGGAGAAATAGACCAATGGGGATCAAGTATAGCCGGTGGTGCGGTATGAGTCTTTTGGCGCGAAAATCCGGCTGAAAAAGGCTATTAACTCCTAAAATGCAAATACATTTTCAATACTTCGTACAAAGCCTAATTAAAATGCTACCTCTTCATTGTACCGATAACATACGGCCAAATCCGTCAAGTTTACAACCAGATTATTACATGTTCGTTGGGTATGCATGTGCGGAATTACGGCTTTTAGGAAATGTCTTTCTGTCCTATAAATATTCCACACCTACACTTCCTCTGTTTTCAGACAGAAACAACCGTGTTCAGTTGGGCTGGTTTACCTCAATCGCAAAAATAATGAAGATTGTAACCATTTCACTTCAACTTATAGACAATGCATGCGTTTCAATTATTTGAATATTTGTTGTAATTCATATGGCGAGGACTTTTATGAAAAAATTATCAACATTAACAAAAAATTAAAGTTGCGAGCGGGTGTGTGTGGGGGTGGGCGACTGTTGATCAGGTCCACCGGAAATCCAATGGTTTTGATGTTTCAACGTCTTTGATCTACTTTTCAACCAGAGTGATTTTTTTCTCCACTTGATGATATCATTTTCTTTCATTCTGACGTTATAGGCTACTGTCGCGGTCACAGCATTTAATTCTAAGACCAAATCCAGAGTTGTTTTTTTCGGAATAGGTGAATGAACCGCACAAAACACTACCGGTTCGGTCGCATTAAGCATGTTACACTTGATGCAAAGGTACTCCGGACTGGGCGAATGAAGATTAGAATAACCTCCAACGGTGTTGGATATACCCCTCCAAATCATATTTCCACGAAACTCTATAGCTAATATCGGTGAAACCGACGTATTCTTCAGCAGCAGATAGTGAATTACAAGTGTATATCAACCTATTGTTAACAGGGGTTTTCTCGCGCTAATAATTCATTTGTGTTTGTAATTTTTCCACTGTTCAACAATCACAGCCCCGTCTCGTTTCCGACACGGATGAGGCCGATCTACGCAGACAAATGGCTGAATTGGAAGAAGCAAACAGAGAAGTATCTGGTGATGAGGATGAAGATGAAGCCGGCGGAGATGAAGATGAGGAGGAAGATGGTGAGGACGATGAGGATGAAGAAGGTAGCGACAAATGAAGGACGGGTTTGTCGATCAATTGTGCTCCTCAATAACTGAATCACGGGTGCCAACTACCTTTGTGAATGCTGTCAGTTATTTTTCTTCGTTGTGATTGAATAAAGCGCATGATTTCGGATGTATGTATTCTGATTTTTGTTTACGACACGACAAAGTTGCCTGTAGTTTGTGTTACACAATCGCTACTACTCACGAGTAGCCAATTTCGTAATTTTCATTTTTTGCGACAGTTCTTCTAGTTGCGTGCCATTTCGCGATGTGCGCGAACCTCGGGGTGCTAGTCAACTGTTTTCCAAATGCTTGCTCAAAATCATGCATGCTATCGTCCAGCATGTGTCATCAAACGAACATAAGGGAGCAGATTTCATAAACAGTTCTATAGTATTCCCGATATGCTTTTACAGTTAACATTCAGGAAAGGGGCTGAGGCCATACTAAAGCTGCCTGGGGAAATACAGAGATGCGGAATACAGGTGGCGGTGGAGCGGTTCGAACACGGAACTTCCGGAAATAACCACTTAGCCACCACCGCCAAGTTATGCAAAATCCGGCCCTCTGCCTGTTGCATTATTAGTCCGAGATGATCTGAGTTTTTCATATCACTCTTGTGATTTTCTTGGTCACCACGGCCACAACAATGGATTTGGACCTGTTACTTCAACCATTCTCGCCATGCACTATTATACAGGGCAAAGAGCCGTTAAGGTCTTATTGATTGATTTGTCTATACTGACTGCTACCACACACTCACACGCACATCACCATGGATTTCTCTATTGTGGAGATCTTTTCGCTTCAGGCAATCAG